TCTTGGAAATTCAAGTTGGGAATGTAAGAGGTTTGTTAACGGCTGACTGTGATTTCCAGAGGGCCCAGTGGAAAAAGATTAAGGAATTGGGAGGCAGAGAGGGAGCCCATTAAGAAATGAGGTCATAAAAGGTCATGTACAAAGCTGACTGGGGATGAGAGTACAGGAAGTGATAGATGCTCTGGAGCCCATGTTGTGGTAACTAAAGTAAGCAGTGATAAAGGGCCTGATGTTTTCAAGGCAGATGGTGGGTTAAAGTTATGAGTATTGGTAAGTGAAGAAGAAAAGATTGGTAGGTGAAGGAGAGAAGAGGTTCTTACAGGGGGTCCCTCTTTGCTTCCAGACGCTGTCCGACTACTTTCTCACTCCTACCAGTGGAAGCAGGAGGCAGAAAGGGACAGGCTCCCTTATTAACCAGGAACACTTGGAGCTTTCCTTGATTCATGTGGATAGAAAGTGGAGGTTACTAATCTATGTGGTCAGGAGAATACCATGCACTGATTGGCTTAGACCTGCTATTACCATATAACAAATTACCCCAAAACCAAGTGCCTTAATGGCAACATTTATTATCTTGTCCTTTCTGTGAATCAGGAGTCCAGAAAGGTGCACCATGCCAAATCCTATGTCTCTGGGTCTCTTGCAAATCTACAGTCATTGTAGGAGGAGGGGCTCAAATAATCTTAAGGCTCAACTGGGGGTGGATCCTATTCTAAGCTCACTCAAATAGTTTGTTGGGAAGATTCATTTCCTCACAATTGTTGGCCTCAGGGCTTCAGTTTTTCACAAGCTGTTACCAGAGGCCTCCCTTGGTATCTTTCCATTAGGCAGCTCCCAACATAACAGCTGGCTTCATCAGAGCAACCAAAAAAGTATCAGCAAGAGAGGGTGCTAGCAAAACAGAAGTGAATCTTTTGTGACCTAATATCAAAAGTGACATTCCATCACTTTTGCTTCATTCTTTTCAGTAGAAGCAAGTCACTAGGTCCACACACAGAGGGAGGAGTTATAGAAGGGTGTGAATACCAGGAAGCAGGGATCACTGGAGACCGTGCTAGAAGGCTGCTCATCCCTATACCAACTACTGTTACGAGGGGGTTGGAACTGGCTTACACCAGTCAGGTTCTACCAACTCAGGAGTTGGAATCAAGTCCCCACATCACAAGGCTGCTACACAGCTGGGAAGTAGAGGGATAGAATAAATGTTGAGAGACCAGCCACAGTAACCATTTACCAACTCACTATACCCATTTACCAGTGTCTGTGCCTTTATTCTTCTGACCCTGAACCTATTGCTCTTTCTACAATATGATGTTGCCTCCTTATTTCTCCCCAGTGCCCAGAAAATCAAGTCCAAACTCCTTGTTCTAGCATATAATGCCCTTCACCTGTAACCCCAACTTATATTTCCAGTCTCATCTCTTACCATTTACTCTCATTTATTCTTGGTCTCAGGACCTCTTTAATACTGTTAAATGTTATTGAGAGCCCTGAAGAGCTTTCGTTTATATATTTTATAGCTATTGATATTTACTTTATTAGAAATAAAAACAAATTTTAAAAATATTTATTAAATCATGGGACCAGCCCGGGGCTCACTTGGGAGAGTGTGGTGCTCATAACACCAAGTCCATGGGTTCGGATCCCTATATAGGGAAGGCTGGTTAGCTCACTTGGGAGAGTATGGTGCTGACAACACCAAGTCAAGGGTCAAGATGCCCTTACCAGTCATCTTTTAAAAATAAATAAATAAATAAATAATTTTAATTTGGGGGGGGGGACAGTACAGGGATTTGAACCCTTGACCTTAGTGTTATAACACCACACTAACCAACTGAGCTAACTGGTCAGCCTCAATTTAAAATAATAGTAAATCTATTACTTAACATAAATAACATTTTTATGAAAAATAACTATCCAAAAAAAATGTTTTGAGAAGAATAACATTGTTTTACATTTTTACAAATCTCTTTGATGTCTGGTTTAATTGAAGACAACTAGATTTTCTTATCAGCTTCTGCATTCTGTCTGTTGCAATATATAATTTTGGTTGAAGTCTATGAAGAAGAACTGGCTTCCCACAGATATGTCACCAGAAAACAGAGATATGAGTATTTTAATAGTCTTGTCAGATAATTGTGGATATTGTTTAATATGAGACCAATTCCACTAGAAAAACTTTTTTTTTTTTTAAGATGACCAGTAAGGGGATCTTAACCCTTGACTTGGTGTTGTCAGCACCACGCTCTCCCAAGTGAGCAAACCGGCCATCCCTATATAGGGATCCGAACCCATGGCCTTGGTGTTATCAGCACCACACTCTCCCAAGTGAGCCACGGTTCGGCCCTCCACTAGAAAAACTTCTTTAAAATCATGATACATGGGGCTGGCTTGTGGCTCACTCGGGAGAGTATGGTGCCGATAAAATCATGATACATGGTTTTTTAGAGTTACGTTACATATGTTAAAAATTGTGTACAAAATTGATATGTCTGTGTAATGATCCTCAACACAACTGTAAAATCTCAATTTTCAAAGAAAAAATATATATATACATATATATGAGACTAGTTCTAAAAAATGGTAGTTTCTTAAACGTTAGTTGCAATGTGGAATCTGAACTTTTTGTATTGTATTACATTAAAATTCATTGGCCCTTCTGGCACTTTGAATAGTTTTTACCCATTTGGAAAGTTATTCAGGCCTTCCAAATATTGACCCATTTCATTATTCAAATACTTTTAATCACATTTTTTTTTTTTTTTTTTTTTTTTTTTTTTTTTTTTTTTCAACCCTCGGTGTTGCTCCCGCGCCTCGCTCAGCCAGTGAGCGGGAACCGGTCTGTATGTGGGATCCGAACCCTCAGGCGGGAGCACCGCCGCGCTTCCCAAGCGGCGCACTATCCAGTGCACCACCGGGCCGGCCCAATCACATTTTTTTAATATCACCACCTATCTCATCAGAAAAGTCTTTAAGAATTGGGAAGTCATCAGTCGTGAAGGATTCAGAATTCTAATTTTCACTCAAATGCTCAAATTTTATCACTGGCAACAAATACAATCAGTTGTTTTCCTTGAACCAGGTCACTTTGTTTATCTCTTACAAAGTGCCAAATACCCAAGTCTAAATAGCCATATTGAATATCATCATTCCTTCATGTAAAAATGGTACTTTGTGAAAAGATCCTTACGACTTCTACCACCCCATAGCTTCTGTTTACTGTATTTTGCGTATCCTTCAGCTTCACTGTCACCCACAGCCTCTCAATGTGCCTCACATCCAGATACCTCAAGAGAGAGTCCAATTGAATTCTCCAACCATTATCCAGTATAGGGGTACATGACAACCATTGCATGAAGAACCACTTCTCACTGCTTACTCAGAGGAGACTGCAGGTCTGGCAGACACTCAGAGCACCATATCCAGAACATGTACCATTTTGAATCAGCAAGATATTCTTTGATACACAGATGTATAATAATTAAGGCATGAGAAGTAAAAATCTCAGATTTTATAATTTGCTTTTACAAGCACGCATTTGACAAAGAAGCCTTGTTTAAAGACAAGAAAAAGAAAGCATGTACTTAAAGTCGTGGTCACATTCTGGTGCCACTGTCACTTTGTTTGAGATATTAATAATACTCTTAGGCTGTCGTGTCTGTTATAGAAATATTCTTCAATATGGATTGAGTAGTTGTTACTATGAATTTCCTTCAGCCATAAGCATAGAATGTATTGCCTTTTACATTACTATTAATAAGAAACATTGTTACTTTAGTTTGATTACAAGGTTTCTTTGGTTGATTAACAATTTTTCATTGTTCTTGTGGGTGTCTTTAAAGGGAGGAAAATCCTCCAATCTATCTGAGTGTAATCTTATATCTAGTGTTTTTATTTGTTAATAAATAATTAGGAGTCACCAGGCACTGCATTTTGCAAGTTCACAGATTTTAAACGTGATTTTTTTTTTTTTTTTTTTTTTTTTTTTATGATTGGCCTCCTCATTTTGGTAGGGACAGAAAAGGCTAAGAAATGTGTTTCTGCCATCTTGAGGGGATGGAAGGTTTGGTAACTTTTCCTCCTTTGAAGATCCTGGAATCATTTATACATATACAGTATAGTGTACATTGAGGCTGTCTGAGTGAGAACATACCCGTGAGTGTGCACGTGTGTGTTTACAAACATGTTCATTCACATAGAGAAATAAAGAACTCAAGCAGGCTGTTTATTAAAAAAATATTTAGAGCCTGAGTTCCCTCTTTCGTTCATCCCATGAGAGCATTACTAGGGGGGTTCATATATTTGGCTTAATAATGAGGAAAACAAAAATAGCATCCCTTTGGGGAACTATAACCTGACACAATTTAAAGTGAAACCCAAATTGAACATAATTCTTTTATTGTACAGAAATATTTTGTTTTATCTTTGTTATGTGGATGCCATCTAAATTTTAAAAGAAATCTAGGTTTTCATTCTTTTATTCTTTGTATTTTTTCAAAAGCAAGAAGTCAGACTTTGTACATCTTGATTTTGTTTAACTTTCATTTCTTTGAGCCATGTGTCACAAGTAATTAAGTTGTAAATATTTTGAAGAATAATTTGTGCACACTTGAAGTACTTTTTAAATTTAAAATTTTTCTAATACCACAGTTCCTGCAAAGATGGATTACATCAATTTCTTCATTGACTTTATGAGTCTTAGAAGTAAACATAGTTGTACAGTTATACTCTGTACTCTAACAGATGGTAGGCAAAGTTTAAACATTTTTTCCTTTTTTTTAACCAAGTGCTCAAAATGCCCTAGTACTTTTATTTCCTTTAACTTTTTGCACTGATAGGTATAAAGCAAAGCTCAGAAGCTGTTCTTGCTACGAAAATATTGTTGCTGCAGTCCAGATTACAATCTCAGAAAATCCAGCTTTATAATACATAGGTGTAGAAAGCTCTCATTGTTAGTATCCTAAATAATCTGAAGACTTGTTTTCTTTCTTTTTTTACAGACCTAACTACCATAATGAATGCTGCATATTAAGAGAAACCACAAGAAGGTTATATGTTTGGTTGTCTAATATTCTTGGATTTGATATGAACCAACACATAGTCCTTGTTGTCATTGACAGAACCCCCATTTGTATGTACATTACTCACATTCCTCTCTGTTGTGTTTGGGGGAAAAAAAACATTTTAGCCTTTTTTAAAGTTATTGATTTAATTTCATGTTATTTGGTTGCATGAAGTTGCCCTTAACCACTAAGGATTATCAAGATTTTTTCACAGACTTATACATGTCTAAGGTCCTTTTATTAAGGCAGTTATGATCATCATTTTCTTGCCTTTACCCCACCATCACCAAACACTCAGTTAAATATAAATTAGCATCTTTTTAGATGACCACTCAACATAATACTTAAGGATGGAATTTCCTCTCTGTGACAGAACCCAGGAACTAATTCCTAGATACATAATGTTGGTATATTGAAGGTGAAATTAAAATTGTCCTTCAGTTTTGAGGCCATGTGTAAAGTTTAACCATACTGTAAAATATCTCTTCTGTATTAGAAATAGCTAGTTAACAACTTAAACTTCTCAAAATTCATATTGTTATGTATACAAACTGAGTTTCTACATGTGAAGTTAGTCAGTCTTTTTGTGTTACTCCAAAATAAAAGCAATGACTTATTTTTTCCCAATGCCAATACAATTTGAGCTAATCACTCAAGGTGGGTACTTTACATTTTAAATCTGGAATCAGCAGCAGCCCTATGGGAAACCAGACAAAACATCAACTTTTAAATATAGACTTTTAAAATGAACTCTTTTCTTTTGGAAGTAGAATTAGAATAGTTAATCTTCATCCACAGACCATTATTATGTGTACATTATTGTTGCTATTGTGATAATAGAGAATTTTATTTATTTTTATGCCAGCTTATATTGTGAGAATACATTTAGTCAGTTTGGGTTTTATCAATCCTGTTATGCTTGTCCTTGGAACATCTTTCATGTATTCAAGGTTTGTAGTTGAAAAGTTTACTGTAAAAAAAAAAAAAATCAAAAACAAAAAAATGTATTGTTTTTACAGAATAAATTTATTGGAATGTGTACTTGGGAGTAAGATTTGAGGTTGTAAACAACTAAGTTAGTGTAACTTGGCTTCATATATGTAATGTGAGGTATTAACATAATTCATATATTAAAACAAACATTTTTAATAGCGAGTCAACATTAGAATCAAGTGCAGGTGAGGGTTTTCTTTTTTTTTTTTTAACACTCTGGGTTTTAGGTTATATGAAAACGGCGGGGAGGGGGTGCGGTTAGGAGGAATGACTAATTGATTTGCTTGCACATCTAAGAAAATATTTACCAGCTGAATGGACCTTAAATCCATACATTTGACATTATCCATGCATTGATTTGTGTCCCATTTTCTTTTAGTTTTCTTACCTTGGTAAACAACATAAAGAGAAAATGTGAAGAGATCTAAAAGCCCAGGGGTATTAATGATGATGGTGGTGATAATGGCAGCTGAGGGTATGAAAGCACCAATCCATTTAAACACTTCAGGGCACACTGAGGGGTGGCTATATTTTTGGTTTGTTTCTCTCATTTAGCAAATGCTGATTTTCTCTATTATACTCCCATAATTCTAAATATGAAAAGTTCATAAAAAGATAGGGATGCCAATCCAGTTCTTTTTCTTTAAAAGGTACTTTTTAATTTTGAATATTTTAATTTGTTTTAAAATTAGTGAAATTTAGTAAATTCATCAAAAAGCCTCTTTATTGCTCACATTAAAACATAAGTAGAATGTAGATGACATTTTGAATTGAAACATATAAGTGACAGATTTTCTTAAATAAAAAGCCATATTTCAAATTTAATAAGATTTGTCTTCATAAAAGGCCAAAAATCAATTTTATTAAAAATACAGAAATACAGTTGAAATATTTCCAGCCACCAATAAAACAAGTGTTGATTAAGCATAATGATAAAATTATCAATCCCTCTTTAGCTATTTAGAGTCACACAAGAAAACCTAGTAAAAGAAATTTTTAAAACAGCAGTAAATAATATACTTTCCTTGGGAAAACATTTTTCAAACAACATTTAAAATACTCTGATGATTTGCCCTTTTTTATATTAACGTTGATAGTAAAACATATACTTCTTAGATGCAAAAGTTATTTCTCCAATCTGCATTTGCTGTTTTGCATTTTTTTAATATGCGTAGACCATACTCACTTTTGAATAGTTTCATTTTCACGCTCACTATTGTAGGCACTAAATTGTAATTTTTCACACTTATAATTATTTAATATGTCAAACAGAATAATGAGATAGATGATCAGGTTTATTCACAAATAATTTCAAATATATTTCTTTAAACAAACTTTTTCTCACCTTTAACTTCAAAAAAAGAAAATTTACCCACACAATACCATGTAGCTCACACATTGCACAGCAAGAATTTATGTATTCTTAAGTATGTGTATATGGGAAGGAAGTGAAATCAGTACCAGTATAACAAAAGTCAATAATCTAAAGAGAAAGAACATGAAATAATATTTTTATTCCACTTTTTCATCTGCCTTTGTTTTTACAAAGAACTCTGGTTTGTAGATACAACGGTAGGCCAAGAGCTGAGGAAGAACTCCATATGCTATGTTTAATGCTAAAAAAAGGATTTTCGCTTCTTCAGGGACTCTGTAGATATAAGCAGTTCTAGCATGAAGAGAAGCACCAATGTGAGAAAACTGAGCCTGTTGTGTTAAGAAAAGAAAATTAGTAAGCATGAAATTTGTTTTCCATTGGATGCATGATGAATTTTGAATGGTTCATTTGGACCATATTTCTGTGCCCTCAAAACCAGTCTCACCTGCAGGCAAAATACCTTCAAACAATCCATGGTCTTTAATATATTTTTCACTAAATTTAGGGTCATTCTTGATATGGTCATTCTTTAGAGTGGTTTTATCATGCCAGTTGGTAATATGCCAGTTGGTAAAAAACCATGCCAGTGATTTTAACCCATCCAGTGCCCCATACATTAATGGCTCAATTTAACAGAAAAATCAGAATAAAATCTCAATTTTTTTTTTTTTTTTTTTTTTTTTTTTGGATTGGCATTCTGAAGATCCTACACAGAGACTCAGTTGTGGCTCACAAATTGTGTTCCAATAAAAATAAAGTACAGAGTTTGTTTTTAGCATAACAATTTAAAGAGAAGCGCTATGGACCTCAGCTTCATTTATCAGTCTTTCATTTACTCCTTGGAGCAAGAGCTCAAAGCCCTTTGACTATGTATTTTTTGTTTGTTTATTCATTCATGTATTTGCTTTTTATGCAACTTAAAAAATACCAAGGGTATTTTTGTAAGATAAGGTTGTTACCAACTTAGGTGTTTGCTGTTTATAAAATGGCAAATGTATCTGCAGGCATCGTTTTCAAATCAAATTATAATTTATTTAGAAGTATGACTTGTCAGCCTAATCTGAGTTTGCAAAATGGAAAGGCAAGGGCCTCCCTCTGCACTTACATACTTGTTCAGAACACATATTCAGAATGTGCCAGTTGGTCTTTTTTTGATACTTCTCATAAGCATAGAGGAAAACTATTAGAAAGTAATGCAGGCCACAGCAGGATTAAAAGCTCCTGTGAGAGGATTTCCACAGGAGGCTTGTATCATTACAAAATGCAACCCTATAGTCTGCATTTTCATTTCTTGCTGAAATTCAAGATATACATGAATAAAGGATTGGGAATCTAAATGTAATAAGTAGTAAATTATTAATTCATCAGGATCAAAGTGAAGATATCGCAATCTAGAGAAGGCATAGAAATAACAAGAATGAAGAACTAAATAATTTGCTTTAAATACGTATAAGTCATTTTATATTTCCTTCCATATGAAATCAACTTATTCTAAGTGGTTAACAGATAAAGTGTTACTTACCACTTGACTTTACCATGACAAGAAAAGGACAAGCTTTTTAAAGCAGCATCTTTATGAATTTGTATCAGTGGCAGATATTTTAATGGGCTGCATTTTTACAAATTACTGATACATTCTGGAGATCTCTGGTACATTTTTGCTACTCTTTGGAGATAAAATTTAATTAGTGTGGTGTGTTGCCAAGGACCAGCACGTGGATTGTCTGCATTATGATCCATGAGACACTGAGAGGGCTCTGCCCTCAGACACACCTCCCCAAGGGCAGATGCCCAAACAGAAGCCAGCAAATGTATTTGCATCTCTGGGCTACAAGGACAAAAGACCTTGAGAGTAAAGGGCACTTTATGGGGCTGCCCTGAGGAACTGCTGTTGTGGACACTCTAGGAACTCTCAACAGGAGCTTGCCCCCCCAACCCTCACTATATTTCCCTAGGGCCTGTTTTGACTAACAGTGTTTTCTGAATATATAAACAAACTTTCTTCTGACTAGAGGCCAGATTTGAACCCTGGTTTTCAGAAATGTACGTTTGGTGGCTCTATCTTTATAGACACTTGTACACATCACAGAATCACCAAATTTGTGAAAATGCCAACCATACTTTGAAAGAATAAGTAGTATGAGCAGTTGTGCCTACTTGCATAGAGAAGCCTTCGTGAAAAGTCAGCGATACTGTAGGCTCTTTTCCTGCACTAACCAGTGCAGTTAATACCTCATTTTCATGAACAGCGAACTCATGGCAACATTAAAAAAATGATTTATGTCCTTAGATTAGATTGTAAGCCCACTGGGCAGGTACTGTGTCTAATGTTTTGTGTGGCACCTACCACATTGTTAGAGTTTAATAAACGTTCAACAACAGTGGTCTTGTGACTGTCAAAACACAAAAAGTTTCTACAAAGCATTTCTCTGTACCTATTTTAGTAGGCCTTTTTATTCAGAATTATTTAACAAGGAGCAAAGATTATACATTCCTAATCAAAAGAGATGCTGTTGTCTGCAGTTCCCAGTACTGCTCACAGTTCTAATGGTTGTATTTTTTTTTTCCTTTTTGTCTTTTTTCGTAACCGGTAATGGGATCGCAACCCTCAGTGTCGCGCCCGTACTGCGACCGGCAACGGGATCGCAACCCTCGGTGCCGCGCCCGCACCGCGCTCAACCAGTGAGCGGACCAGTCTCCATATGGGATCCGAACCCTCAGCGGGAGCGCCGCCGCACTCTACCGAGTGCACCACCGGGCTGGCCCCTAATGGTTGTATTTTTGATGGCCATACCTCCATCATCAGTCATACCTGACTGAGCATCCAGCCATAGCTTCCTCCTAAGGCATATGGTGTTAAGTGTCCAGGGTTCTAAAGTTTCCGAAAAACCTGAACCTCATCTAAGGAAGGTTCTTTTCCCAAGCACATAGATGATAAGGGGCTGTATGGTGTCTCCTGGGTGATGTTCCCACCAGCACACAAGGCCTCCCTATGACAGGCCTGAAGAGCTCAGCCTGAGCGCTAAGCTGGGTTCAGGTGGCTCAGTGAAATCATTGTGGCCCAGGATTACAAGTACAAATTATATGGATCCTAGAAATTTTTGCATAATTCAGTGATTTCGAGTCCTTAATAATTTTCCTTTACTTCTTTCTAAATCGTTTTTTACCTTACAGAAGTAATTAAGAGATATACTAATTTTTTTTAAGAATGTATGATTGGAATGGAAAATGAGGCAATAAAGGAGAACAAAGGTTAAACTTTAATAGCTCCGTTTTCTTATATTTTTAGAGACAACCTGGAAAGGATGACTAAAAATCACAAGCTTGGCTCCAGAAGAAAGAACTGAAAGAGTTTTAGGGGTCCACATGAATATTATAGGCAAAAACTAATGTGAACATTGGGACAGTAGCCAGGCTGTTTGGCTAACACAGTATAAGTACCCAATCCCAAACCATGTTCTTTTCTTAGGGTTTTCTGAGCAGAATAGTATTGTTCAGAATTCTGACTGTAGAACCAGATAGCCAGAGTGAAATCCCAACTCCACCACAAAACCAGCAGTATGCGTATGGCCTTGGGCAAAGTATATAATAAGCCTGTGGCTTCCTCATCTGGAAAAATGGCTAATAATGGAAGCTACCTCATAGGTTGTTTTAAGGGTTTAATGAGTTGATA